TATATCAGGAAACTGTTCTTCAAATCTCGCTTGTGCAGTTGGTCTGGTTTCATATCCTGCTCTAATTTCAGAATAAACATTCTTGGAAAGGACGCTTTCGATCTGTACGGCTTGGTTTTTAAGATAGAGTTTAATTTGATCATGCAAAAAAAAGGTTTTACCACTTTTGGGTCCGCAAGATGTCAAGGATTTTCGCCATTGAGTTGGTAGGGCCTCAAAAATTTGAATTAAGTGAAACCATTCAAGGGGTGTGAAAGGTAACCCATTTGGATTCTGCTTGATTAGTAAAACATTTGTGTCGGTCACAAGATTTTCTAGCGTGATTATTCCTTTGTCAAAGAGGCTTTGATAGAACACCGATTTTCCGTCGATCAGAATGTGTCTGTTGTTCGATATAACTGTGCTAGATCTGGAAGAGTTACTTAAATTAAGGATCTGTTCCCTTACAGATGCAGAGTGTTCAGTAGAGTTACTCAGTAGAGTTACTTTGTGGCAGAACGTGCAGACCCTGAGCTTCACAACTCACCGGCAAATTTACTTTGTGGCTCAACGGACGCCGAGCTAAACAACCCGGTTTGATGCATGCACCAGGCGTAACACGCATTTTCCAAAGAAAAATATGAAGGCTTAATCCAAAGTAAAATTTTACTCAGGGTGTAAACCTTCAGCACACTTTTGAAAGATGAACGCTTTGGAAGATTCATTAAACACAGATCGATAGTAGACCTTCAGCAAACTCTTAAATATGTACGTTTTACGAAGAGTCAGCACACTTTTAAAAGATGAACGATTTACGAAGACAGAATAGCAGACCTCAGCAAACGTTTGTAAGATGAACGCCGAGAACACACGAATCACCGCGTGAATTAGCGCGTCAAAGTGAGGCAAAACGTAAGCAAGCGCCTCAAAGCGAGGCAAATGTGTGTCGACGACAAATGCAGTCTCGAAAAAACCTCCATTATTAATTGCACAGGACACCCAATAATGCACAGAACACCCAACACAAATTAGGGGTTACGTTCTCGTATCTCGAACGCAATAATCTGCAAAAAGTGGGCCGGTAACTTGCGGTGTTTCGGTTTGTGGTGATTTCTAAAATTCAACCACGAGATAAAGTATAGGAAACTTCATCAACGTTAGCCTGCGCCCAGCGCCGAAATCCTTGCTATCACTCTTTAGTATTACCATAACTCTTCTCAGACGACAAATATCACATCATTCATTGACCAATCTAAAAATGATTGGAATACATAGGGTCCTTATAGGCTCAGTATCGATCGGAAGAGAGAGGTTTTATCCAAGAACACAGTTATGTGTCACTATTGAGTAAAAAACAAATAAAACCGAGGCCACCTTTTTTCACTCTCTCCAGCACAATAAATTAAGAAAAAAGATAACTTCGCACAAAGTACGTGAGGATTCTATCACTTCTATCTCCTCTTAAAAGGTCTTTCAAAGATTGTGATAGGCATTGATAAAGCAATTGTCTCACTTATTTATGTAGTTCACCAGTAAAACAGTAAAAGCAATAAGGCTGAAAGGCCATTTTTATCTTCCCGTTAAATACAGGCCCGCAGCAAATGCTTAAGTAACGGGGCTGGAGGAAGAGCAAATTGGCAAGTCAAAATTTTTGCCCCACCCGTCGAAAATTTTGAAAAAATGATCAAAGGGTGTACGAAGATTCATGTCGCCGGATAGATGCTAATACTGTACGCATTGCTATAATTTGTGTTGATTATCTATCTTCTATGAAAATACGTACACCAGATTTATAGTATCAGTTTTAAGGTAGGAGTGCCAGCGTTGCTGTTGCAAAAGCAACTGTTATTTACTTAACAGACCACTAACAGTTGTGAAAAAGGTGAAGAATTCAAGACTGATTGTTGTTGTACATGAATTTGTTCTTATAGCATGTTTTTTGACACATTGTTTCTAACTTCCAAACATTCTGGAGGAGGGGCTCGAGTCCCCCTGTCTCCCCCTGCTTTGGGTGGAATTGTTAATAAGTGTTCATAAAATAGAAAACAGTACTGTACAGTGAAACCAATCAAATAAGTTCGTCAAGTCACGTTTTTGAAAGTAAAAATCGAAAAAGTTGTGGGTGGAAATTCGAGGCGATCTTTCGAATTTCCGGTGTCTGGCATGTTGGGTGGTGGAATTTGATTACAATGTTGGTAACAATAGAAATGACTATTCCAGGTACTTTTTAGGTGTCCGCGTCCGCTTAATAGAGGTGTCCCCTAAATAAAGGGTTCATTTAAAGTAAATAAGGGAAATAAATTTTGGGCCTTCGGCTACTGTCCGCTTAATAGAGGGTGTCCGCTTAATACAGGTTTCACTGTAGTGCTTTTGCCAACGCAATATTGTCTTGCAAAAGTAAGCACGTTTCTACCATATATTCGACCATTTTTGAAATCGAAAGTTCTTTGAAAAGGCAAAACCTTCAGCAAGTCTGCGAATTAATAATATCTTAGGAAAACTTGGTTTTTACCAACTGACTGACAGCGAATTCGTTTTACCTCAGCGGTTGCGTTGACGTTGCTGGTTAAGTAATTACCAAAACTGCTCTTAATTGTATTACTTATCTTAGCCCATTCAATATCCAAGTTGACTTTTTAACCGGGGCTTTTTAAAGACAGGAAAAAACACTTTATCTTTCAAGAGTCGTTTTTAAGTGCTTTAATCTGATTGAATTGGATCCAATTATTATATTTTCCACCAAGGCAGATTAAATTAAAGTAAATGTCAAAATTAACAAATCGCCATTTCGTTCTTAAGACGTAGTTAAGCAGAGCGATTAAGTGGTTAAACGTCTTTTAGATACATCAAGTTGAGTACCGTTCATTGTTTGCAATCATAATCATTAGGGGCTATATGTCCAGGGGGGCGGGCTGTATGTATAACACGAAATTTATCAAACCGGTTGGAAAAGCCATCAAATTAAGCGAAACATAAACACAACTGCATAATTAACACAAGGTGTAAATAATACAGCCCTTACAAAAGAAGGCGCGGATGGGCAGATTCTAAGAAGATTGAATAGGATTACAAGTGGTTTTTGAAAACTTGTCAGCCTAAGTGTTTTTGAAAGTTCATTCTCCTGTTGTCTGTAACGTTTTATATAAGGCTTGCAGGGGCGGATCCAGGAGGGGGTGCACCACTAACTGACCGATGACGTAAAAAATTTTAAAAGCGAATACGAAGAAGAGGGCTTTTGACTAGGAAATAACATAATGTGAACTGCTGAGAATACATATCAAACGATAGAGCAGATTTTGTATATCTGTCAAACGACTGCACAGTGTTAATTAGAAATCGGCCGCAGGTCATCCCAGGGGGGGGGGGGTGCGCACCCCCTGCACCCTCCCCCTGGATCCGCCCCTGGCTTGAGACTAAGACNAAATGAGAAAGAGAGTTAGTATGAAAGAAAAAAAAAGATAAGTAAGCCGAGGAAAAAAAAAAAAAAAGAAAAGATAATTTTTTTTTGAGGCACAAGCGAGGGGCGGGGGTTAAAGAAAAACGGCCCGCCGGCCCCCCGGGGGGGGGGGGGGGGGTGCGCACCCCCTGCACCCTCCCCCTGGATCCGCCCCTGGCTTGAGACTAAGACATGTTGGTTTGACATGAAGCAGTATTATTCCTTTGCAAGTAATTTCTTTGCTAAGGATAAGTTCCATCGTGAATAAGGACGTGTGTGTAATTGGCAATATTAAGAAAATGAACGAACGCAGCCGTGACACTGCACCTTTAAGTGTGGTCAATTTCTGTGGCGTGGGACACCATGAAGATATAAGGTTTATAAGATTTTTATATTTAGAGGTGATTCCCGAGCTGACATGGATACCAGAAAATATTTGGACGGCTAGACTAATTTACCATCTAGTGTGTCAATTTACCATCTCTGATCAAAACGTTACATTTGATCAGAGCAGTTTTGATGGGCGATCACTCTCCACGTCATCGACGATGAGGTTTGAACGTTACTGATACTTATTTACTTACTTACTTACTTACTTACTTACTTACTTACTTACTTACTTACTTACTTACTTACTTACTTACTTACTTACGTACTTACCTACCTACTCACTTTACCATCTGTTATTGAAACGAGAATCCTTAATGCTTTAATAGAAAATTCATCGCGACTCACGAATCGGAATGAAGACTACGAATCGCTCTGAAGCAATCGAAACTAAGGCCATGTCCCCACACACGATATCCAGACATTTTTGAAACCGCATATTTTTAATCCGGATTAAACGGTGCCTATTGAAAACGCTCTGGAGAGCTGTTTCCAAACAAGGCAGTTTCGATGACCGGACTCACTGGTTTGGTGTAGACGGATCGAGTGCCGATTCGTCTAAAAATAGTATGTGGTTTCAAAAATATCCGGATTCGTGTGGGCTGATGTAGCCTTATTTAATCATTCAGCGCAGAAAGAATTGTTATTTTGTCTTTATGTTTGCAGATGTTCACTTGGAAAATGTTTACTGCCAAATTACTCCAGGTATTGTTGATCCTGCAAGGCTCAACAAACGTTTTTGGAAAACCGGGTTTGACTGATATAGCCTTAACAGGATTTCAGCGAGCCAAGTGTCAGGTAAACATTTTCAGCGAAAAACTATTGGATGTATTATAGTATAAATGTTACGAATGCGAAATTTGCTTAAATCTTGTTCCTGTTTTCATATCCTTCCCGGGAGGGGTGGGGGGTGGGGGGCGGGGGCGTACTGGCATGGGGTACTGCCATATATGATACATGGAATATACAGGTATGTGTTGCTGTAAAGGAAGCTAATCAATAGGTTAAAGATTTATGTCTAGACGGGGAAAACCAGTAATTTCAAGAAAATAAGGAGAGATTCTGGAAGTTTAGGTCTGGTTTAGAGTAGCAAAATTCAGCCGAACTTCAATCCTCGTCAAAACCTTTTAAGACCGTCAGCTTAGTCTTCTACACGGATGTGTGTATTTTTAACTGATCCCCCTCTCCCCTAGACAGTTTTGGGTGTCACAATTCAAAATCTGGGAATGATTATAGGATTAGACTTCAACTTTGTTCGGTTGGGGGGAGGGGCGTGAAACCAAGAAAAAGCAGTATTTGTTTATATGCTGTGGTGACCCTGTCACGTATATGTATGTTACTATTATTATTATAATTTTTTTGGCGAAGCTTAATAGAGAGAGAAAGAAATGAATTTACAACTAAGAATTGCCGGTTACTCGGAAATACCTAACCAAAAAGAGAGAAAAAGGAAGAGTACTAAACCCTTTTGGCCAGGATTGTGGGTCTGGTATAGGCTAACGGTTCTGGGGTCTGAGCGGCACATCCCCACTCAAAAATTCCTAAAGTACCTCCCCTGGTATCTTTCCCTCAGCAACTGAGAAGCTCCAGTGCGAATGTGCAGTTCCCACTGTACTGCAAACCAGGCAGTTTGACAGTGCGATATCTCAATGTGGGCGGAGGATTGTTCAAGACCAGTGGTTTCTCCTACCATGGCGACGTGCTGCGGACCTTTGATGTCCAGTTTCAAACAGAACAAGATGGAAATGGAGATATTGTGGCCAAGTTTAATGGCGCAGTACTCAAATGTGATGGATTGGCTGCACGCAAAATAAAGACATGTACAATACCGAGAAATTTGCGCCCCTGGTCGGGGAGCATAATAGTGAAGATAGGAATTAGCCATCCGGGCACCAGATTCCAGATGGCTGGCACACCAGGTAAAATTGCACCAGTTATAAAACTCTTAACTGAGAACGTTTATCAACGTAAAAATTACTAGAGAACCTGTAAAACCGGTTAAACACCCAAAAAATAGCACACCTTATCTTAATGAGATTTCTCCGCATAAAGACAAAAGGCTATGACGTCATCGGCGTCAGTGTAATTTCCCTTCCAAAGAGAAGGTTGATTCGGTCTCTATACTATACTTCTTACCATCACATTTAGAGCTATCCATGGTCATGCAACGATTTACATCTCTCCAGCATACACTCCACCGGCATTTTAAAATAACGAAACTTTGAAAAATTAATTCATTAATTAGCAATTAATGAATTCGGCTTTCGTAGGATATGAATAATTAAGCAGATCGAGGAGGGTGTTATCCACGGAGGCCGAAGGCCAAGATGGATAACACCCTCCAAGATCTGCTTAATTATTCATATCCTACGAAAGCCGAATTCATTAATTGCTTGATTATTCATTCAAAATAATTCCTACAATAGCATAAAAACATAGCTAAAACATGCTTACCTGTATCGATGTTAAGTTTATCTACGATAGTGTACGTTTAGGTTTGTCCAGCTCCGCAAATATTCTCCAAATAGCAGATGTCGCCCTCCGAGTTGTCTNAAAGAGAAGGTTGATTCGGTCTCTATACTATACTTCTTACCATCACATTTAGAGCTATCCATGGTCATGCAACGATTTACATCTCTCCAGCATACACTCCACCGGCATTTTAAAATAACGAAACTTTGAAAAATTAATTCATTAATTAGCAATTAATGAATTCGGCTTTCGTAGGATATGAATAATTAAGCAGATCGAGGAGGGTGTTATCCACGGAGGCCGAAGGCCAAGATGGATAACACCCTCCAAGATCTGCTTAATTATTCATATCCTACGAAAGCCGAATTCATTAATTGCTTGATTATTCATTCAAAATAATTCCTACAATAGCATAAAAACATAGCTAAAACATGCTTACCTGTATCGATGTTAAGTTTATCTACGATAGTGTACGTTTAGGTTTGTCCAGCTCCGCAAATATTCTCCAAATAGCAGATGTCGCCCTCCGAGTTGTCTTCTTGCTGTTTTTACTATGTTTTTAGCAATTATTTCGCCTAGTTCCAGCTGTAGTTCTTACTCTTGAAACGAGTGAAGTGTCCGACATCTTAGTTTTCACAACAAAAACAACTCAACCTCGTCCCCAGGTCTTCTCGGTTAACGGTGCATTAACCTGTAGAAGGCTGCAGTTTTTACGTCATTTCCTTGTTAAACACAAAATTCTTCCAAATTTGGTCATCAGTAACTGGTTATGGTGAATTACTCGTGTGCTTTTAGCCAATCAGAATTGAGGAAATATTTTGAATGAATAATAACACTTATTAATGCTTCTCACTTATATCTCATATTTTTATTTATACAACAGTTTGTTGGAGAACTGGTTTCACAGGATATAACTGTAACCAAGGTAAGGCTGGTAAATTGCTAAGGTGTCAGTTCTGGAATATGTCAGTACACGGTAGGTCACGTGGGTTGCTCATCTGCCTCGCAGCTTGACTCCACTCTCTGACGCGGAGATTCTGAGTGAGAGCTTTTGAAGGAGCAATGACGCATGATACGGGGTGTGTTAAGCTACATTTAAACGGTCGAATTTTCGACCGGTTGAAACATTTGACCAGACACTTTTTTTACACAAAACCGTTCAATATTTTTGCGCTGTCGAACCGTAATATTTCCAAGTGAAGCGTGTAATAGCACGACTCGTAAATCCATTCTCACAATATCTGTTTGCAATTGTCCTCTCTTTTTCCAACTGAGAAACCACGCATACATGCAACCACGGTGTCCACACCTTGCCGTTCACATTTTCGACCGTATCGGTCAAAAATTTGACCTCGATTTTAGCGTTCAAATTTTTGAACGGCTAGGAGTTCAAATTTTCGTGCGGTTAGCGTGATTCCGTGTAAACGGAACACCTTACCGTAACACTTTTCGAATTCTCTTAAGGCGGGAAGAACAACATCCCGTGGAGGAATAGAGCGATTTTCGTATGACCTTGAAAAATGGTTTCGGTAAGTGTTCGTTATTTGTTTTATCACCCAGTGCATGAAAGATCAAGCATAGACTCCTCGTTTTCCTGCCAAAGAAAATCTCAGTATGAAGAAGGCATTGTTCGATTGGCCAATCGTGTTGCGATATGACGTCAAAGCGAAGTATCGATTGATTTCTAGAAAGTTCTTCGGGCATGAAGTTTTTTCAGCCAAGCGTTTGCTTAACCAACGAAAACCCACGCGCGTTTGTATCCGTTCGACAAACGAATCAAATCGCTCTATTTTCGCTGTTTTGTTCGCGCGTTTTCACTTCAAAGTCATACGAAAAATTGCTGTATCAAATAATATATTTTGTAAACCAGTTTAATGTTTACTTTTCTCCTAGCCTTAGACTTTACCATTTCCAGGATTCAGGTATATGAAAGGGTAGGGAATTTTGTCATTTTGGTCGGTAAAATGGCACAAAAGGGCTAACAGATGCGTTTTATACCGGGGCTGTGAAAAAGTCGAGATAACGTTCTGGTTTTGTAATTTAATCATATTTTGAAGAAAGGGCAATTACAGCAGTTACAGCGATGCTCCGTCACGTGTGACCAGTAAACTGAACACGTGATCCGAGTCTTCCAATAAACGCGCTTCTTTGAGTAGCGTAGCGAAGATCACATTAAAATTTCGGAGATTTCGTTGAAATGTAGAATTCCAGGAAAAGATCTTCAAATTAGAGATGGAAAGTTCGATACTTGTGGAAATACTGAAGAAATAGCGACGTATGTAACCTCTGGTTTATCGAGTATTTATTTATTTATTATGCGGAGCTTGACCTTTATTCCTTGTTTACAGTCGATAAAGCCGGTAAGTTTCTCCCATCGCACACGCCATCGTTCAACAACCTTTCGCGTATTTCCCTTCCAAACATGCTAGGTTTCATCAATTTGAACAATTCTATGGATTCTAGAACGTTGTCTGAAAGTTTAGAAGGATTTCTCCGTTCTCCTCGACGAAGGGGAAAATATGTGCCGTACACACGAATGATGCAACACACTCCGCCATAAGTCAACGTCAAATTTCGGAAAAATCACTTTTCGGAAGACGACTTGAGATCTAGAACTTTCGGAACATTTGTTGTAAAATTTCTTGCTTGCCTGCCTCTCCTAGGATTTTCGAACATCTAAAAAATGGTATGATTGCCCATTTTTAACGGATTTTTACCCTAAAAACGTCACCTAGAATTTTCGGGAGCCTTTTTTCTGGCTGAAATTTTCGAAAAGGTAAGTTTTAATCCCTATAATTTTCGGATCACTAGACTTTCAGCTAGGAAATCCGAACAGATGAAAAATTTTGGTGGATAAAAATATGCCTATATCCGGCGTTTAAATACTAAAATACGTTTAGCAATACTATGTTTAAGTTGTTTTGAACTATTTTCTCGTTGCGTGCCCCTGATAAGTAACACGAACTGTTGGTGAGATTTCCCTCGGCCCCTCTCCGCTCAAATACAAATCAACTATCTGTCTTCTGATTTCCGTACTGAGAGGTTTACCTGGCCTGAATTCTCGATCTAAAGCGTTATAATCAATAGGTCTGAGAATTGTGAAAGTTCGTTAAATCCTCAAATCTTTCTACGGATTTTGTAAATTTCGTTTTGAATTTCCCAGATCACACCAAAACACCTAAATATGGTAAACGAAACTTGAAACGTTGTCTGAATTGTCGGAATTTACTGGTCACGCGCGACGGAGCATTGCTGTAAGAGGGATGTAAAGTTCTGAACTAGGTATGTGAAAGAGGTACCATTTGCCCATAAAAGGTATACTAAAGGGGAACCTTTTTTTTATCAAAAATGGTATATTTAAAGGGTAAGGGGCTGGATTTTGGGGCGGAGGCTTCCCTATAAAAAAAAAATTGGCTGAGTATACCCCCCCTCCCCCCCGGTTCCAAGTTGGCACGTTACTGAAACGGCTGGAATTTCTGAGTACTACCGAAATAGGTAGACTGTTTTTTCGTAGAGTTGCCGTTAGTGACAAAGGTGATCATTTTTGGTCACGTGTCTATAGAGATAGTATCTCCAAAGCCAAACGCACGTGATAATATTCCTTCGCATTTTTTGCTCGCGCTTTGGCTGTCTATCGTCGTTTATCCGCTTTCGTTTAGTATTAAATACAACATGATCCAGCTAAAAGTGTTCTATAATATTTCTTTTCCGGAAGATCGATGCGAACTAATTACAGTGGACGAAAATGAGATGTCTATCTTCGATGATCTCATGCGAATCGTAAGGAATAAATTATAGAGTGTTTACCACGGATATAAGACCTTCCTTGTTTGTTTATGGAAAAGCCCGCCATCGTTTAATTCTCAGGAATGTGAAGGAATGCGATCACGTGCGCTTACATTTGAGGCGTCAGGGATAAATCACGTGCGCTTAGTTCAAATATGTTTCTCTGCAGAGGCGACTGTTTCGCGCGTCTGCGAAAAAACAGTCTACCTGTTTCGGTAGTAACTTAGCCTCATTAGGTTATGGGCTCCTGCCCCGACCCCGCATTTTACTGACACCCCCCCAGGAAGCATCCTCGGAGACCCAAGGGCAGATAGTGGGGGTGAAGGAAAGTCTAAACGGGCGGAAAAATAAGGCACGAAGAAAAGTAAAGAACGGCGAGAAGAGCCCCTGGGGACAATGTCTTACCAGACCAGTTCCAAACGGTCGCCGCCGTTCTGGCTTCTGATTGGTGCCAGAAAAACACAAGTTTTCTGGCACCAATCAGAAGCCAGAACGGCGGCGACCGTTTGGAACTGGTCAGGTAAGACATTGTCCCCAGGGGCTCTTCTCGCCGTTCTTTACTTTTCTTTTGTGCCATATTTCCCCCACTGTTTAGACTTTCCCTCGCCCCCACTATCTGCCCCTGGGTCTCCGAGGATGCCCAGGAAGGGACTGATCACAAAAAAAACTTGATAAATTAGAGTGTACACTAGTCACCATGACGACAGCTTTCAAAATGTGAACTATCCCACTTCACTTAAATCAATGTACTGCACTTGTGGGAATTCAACACACAATAAGGCAATGATAAGTTAGTCATGATTTTCTTTATACATTATCTACGTAGCTGGTTGAAATAACGACTGCAGCAGACTCCGAGGCAGGATAAAAGAAAAATGTTTTATTTGTTGTTTAATTATTAATCAACCCCAGCCCAACCTCCGTTCAGGGGACACCTCTATTCAGGTGACTCCCTCGGGACCAAGGAAAGTTCAGTTCAAGAAGCCTTGACGAATATGCAATTATTTTTTAAAATCTCAAAGAAGCATTGAAGCCTTAATTGAACTAGCTCGAAAGAATGTGAAATTGAAGAGTCATGACAAAAGATTTTTTCTGTATTACCTGTACACCTGTCTAAATTTTGACCAATCTGAGACATTTGTCGTCATAATCAAATTTTCTTCGATAGGTTTCCAATTTCCATAGCAATAGAGGCTCCACTGCGCGCGTTTCGCTGTGATTGAATAAGGCCTTAAGGCCCTTAATTAGTGCACTGTTTACACTTCTGATTTTCGGTACCGGGACCACACGAAGCACGTGGTGCGAAACAAATATGCCTTAACGAAACGCTTTAGAACATCTATAGGGGTCCAAACTTATCATGTTTTCAAGGTTTTGGGACTACAGACGCCTATGGTACCAAAACCATGTCGGGCTTGGACCCAACCAAACCAGCCCTACTCGAACTGAAAGAAATTTCTTCTTTTTGCACATGTAGATATTGACGAGTGTGCAACCAGCACCCACTCATGTCACATGAACGCTATTTGTAGAAATACCTGGGGATCCTATCTCTGTGCCTGCAAAACTGGCTACTCAGGAAATGGAAGAAGTTGTTCTGGTGACTACATGTTTATTTTTCTTACATTACATTGCATGACTTTATTTTACCTCAAATTTACAGAGTAGCTCAAAAGCTAATACCTTCGAGGAAATAATAAATAATAAAATAACATTACTAAGTATTAATTATCTGATGTTAAGTATCATGTTTCATATAATGAAAAATATCTATTAATGCTAAGTGCTAACATGGTTGAAAGAAAATGGTTCGTATTAGGCTTTCTTTGTTTGATAACGATTGAAGTATTTTCATAGTTAGCCTTTATAGGTTACTAGCCACTTGAACAGTAGCACGTTCCATAAATGGGCTCCTGCATGTTCTCAAAAAGTGAGCGCATTTGGACGTGCCTACGACTAGCTCCAATATGTGCTCTTCCAAATGTGCCAATAGATACAAATTCGAAGAGCGAAACAGACTGTAAGCAGCCTATCATTGTCTTCATTAAGCATTGTTCTTTGTTTTAGATATTAACGAATGCGTTGTACATAAAGACAAGGTTCTGTGTGCGTGGAAGGACGGATGTGTTAACACTCACGGTGGTTACAAATGCAAGTGCCCATCGGGATACAAGGTCTCCTCACAGGACTTTCGTCTTTGTGAAAAAGGTATTGGAGTGATTATATATCATCGCTCTTTCCCTTCGATAAAAAAAATTTATAATGAAGAAGCTGACTTTTAAGAAGCTGAATTGCGGTAGAATTGAACCATGCATTACCTGACCGACTTGATAATATCAGCTAACCATTTCTGTGTGGTAAAACATAAGGGGTAAATTATTCAGCTACTTGTATTTTATTATTTCTGCAGATATTCCACAGATGTTAAGCCGTTCCAGCAATGTCACAGTTTTGTTTTTACAGACTGCAACATTACCTTGTCGCTACAGTGCCTCTGGCCCAGTCACTGTCAGTTGGCGAATAAACAACAGGATTATAGCCGTAAAAAGAACAGATGGTAAGTCAAGCCTGATCGACATGAAATACCCCTTAAGTTTTCATGCTAACTTCAGAATATATACATACAATCAACTGTGTCTTCATTCATTAGTTCATTAGACTTTCTACCGCTAAGCAAGACATGTTTTCGTATCATAAATTTTTAGTAACTTACCTTAATGCAATTTGTGTTTTAGTTTTAGTTTTTTAACGTGCCTTAGTTTTTAAAACATGTAAAGATAATTTTTAACGTAGTGTATTTTTTTGTCGTATGGCCCTTAGGTATAATAATAGCCTTCGGCTGAATGGAAGGACCATCTACTTTTCTTGTCTTCCCTTTCCTGGTTTGACTCTACTTTACTTTGCTTTATACTTTACTTCGCTTCACTTCGCTTCACTTCACTTCTCTTCACTTTACTTTTCTTTACTTTACTTTACCTCACTTTACTTGACTCTACTTTACTTTATACTTCACTTCACTTCTTTTTACTTTCCTTTCCTTTCCTTTATTTTACTTTACTTAGTTAGATAACTTTACTTTATTCTACTTTTCTTACTTACTCAGTTTACTTTACTTACTCTCACTCTCTTTCTTTTCTTTACTTCTTTTTACTTTACTCTACTTTACCTTACTTTACTACTTTTTACTTTACTTTACTTTACTTTTAAATGAACGGATTGGAGGAGACGGGCTAGGGGATTGCGAGGCTTTGATTCAGAAAGTGTTGACTTCCGCTCATTAATAGGTTCCAAGCAGACCATTAACCGGCGTCTGACACTTGGCGACAGTGGAGACTTGATGATCCATAACACTACGTTCGGAGACGCAGGAAGATTTATGTGTATCGTACAAAACGTGCGCTTTTTCTCTGGGATCATACACAACTTGAGGATCGAGTGTAAGTTTTATTTCTAAATTCGCAAGGCTTGGAGACGAGTGGCCCGTAAATGTTAAGGGACTTGTCAGAAATTAGCAGGGGGAGAGGGGGGTGGGAATTTTAAATTTGGATTCGGAAATGAGGTGACCCATCCCTGCAATGGGAGTGAAATTTTCTAACCCTCCCCTTGACCTGGCCTAAAATATCATGACCCTCCCCCTCTTGCATAAATGATAAAATCTCGTTCTTGCAATACACTTAGGTGAGTCAGTATTATGAAAGCTCAAAATACATTTCTAGTCTGTTCTTTGTAATGCCATATACATACATTTTAGATGACAGCATGAAGCTGAGTCCTACTCTGATTCTGTCAGCTTATCACTCGACTCTCCTATTTCTCCCAGTTTTTTTTTACAAAATAAAGAACTCCTTTTTTCTTTTGTGGGTGAACCTCTACATGATCACGGACACATATTTGCATGACCGTTCCCCTTTTAACGGCCCATTTTTCATGACCCCTCCTGTTTCTGCAGTCTCGAAAAGTTGTGACCCTCCCTCTGTTTCCACCTCCCCTACCCACTGCTAATTTCTGACAAGTCCATAAGGATGAAAGAGCGGGAACTGGAATAAACTGTGTTACTTGAGAGGGCGACTTTCAACAGCGGCTCGAAAATTGAAAACTGAGATATACTCCCGCCAACTCCTTTTATTCAAATTTACAATAAAGGAAACGGCACGAGAAGTCGCTTGCAGCGCTCATTGTAAGCGGGAGAAATGGGACTTTCAATTTGCATCTGCGCCGTAGAAGTACGTTCGGCCTTACTGGAGAATCATGTTTTGCCGCAGGTAGAGACGTTTAGTCGGGCACTCCGCCAAAAGAAGGAGATCATGAAGTCAATGTATTTAACCACTATTAGAGAACGGATGAGGCCGGTCATGTGTGCAGATCGTTTTATATCACCAACAGACCCTCCTAAAAACTCTTGTACGAGTTACTGAGTATTAAATGCTTAGGTTTCTTGTTTGAAGCTTCTAGTATGTTAAAATCTTCAAGACTTCAAGAGAAAATAATCTATCAAAAAATTAATTTTGATCGTCCGGGTGAACGTTGTCCTGAATAGGACTGTTGTTGTTGACAGTGACTGACGTTTCGACAACCTGTGCGGTAGTCATCTTCAGAGTCAAAGTGAGTTGTATCACGTCAGTTGATGGTATTATACTCTGGTTATTGATCTGATTGGTCAATTATGTCGCGATGTTATTGGTCTTCTGTCAGTTAAGCCGTGATGTTATTGGCTATGAAGACTCGTAATCAGTGATTGGTGCGTTTCGATCCGTATATTGTCACGGTTAAACAGTCGTCTATTGTTAGTCAAATTGTCAGTTCTCCAATATTCGCCTCACAGAAGCTGGAACTTTTGTCTCGCTCGATTTGCTAATAAGGCAACAAAGTTACGATTGTTAACAGACACGTAATCTGTAGTACCACTATTTTTAACAATGCAGCAAAACCATTAATGTCTG